GCATTGGTATGAACCTCACATTGTCTAGAGCGAGTGCGTTTAATGGAAGCTGTGATTTCCGTATTTCGTTTCTAGGAAGGCTCATGCTAAGCTGCTGTGCTGCTCAAGCAAATATCCTTCAGAAAGCTTTCCCATCAACTGGAAAATACCAAGTTAGGTTTCCATCCACTTGGCAACTACTATCCAAGCAGTAAAGCATGAGCTGTGTGTAACTGGGTTATAGAGGTTATGATTAAAAACAGGCTCTTGAGATATGAGCTGCCCTGTGTAACTGGGAACTTTCTTCTTCCAGGATTGAAATTGTTCCCCTAAGCTTCATTTGCAGTCTAGCATGACAAAAGTTCCTTTCTTTAGTAATTTCAGGGAAAGCTTCACCACTTGATTGACTTTCATGGAGTTACATTAGAGTTACTGGTGCATGGGTAAATTAATATGAGCAGAGACTAGAATTGGTCCAGGGTGTTAGTTTTATGGCTCATTGTTGAAACCATGCAAAGGCCAGACTATGTTGTGAGTCTTCCTGGATTTAAAAACTCTTCAAATCTAGGCACACAAGGATTTGGAATGATTTTACTGGCCAAAAGCCTTGCAGTTGTTTCCTGCCTTTCTTTTCTTTGCTGAGATTAAGCTCCTTTGGGGTAGCTGAGAAATGCCAGGGTGGCCAACAGAGATAATTTTGTCCACTTTTTGTGTAAAACATCATGAATTTACCCCTCCCCAGATGAGGTGATGAGAGCAGTGTAGAGTTACTGTAATTGGCATCCACAAAAACTTAAGTCTTACAATGTCTGAATTTTGCTTAGCAGAATAGGATCCTGAAAGCTTCAGGCAGCCACTCTGAACACAGGACGGAGGGACTTTAATAAGCAAAGGTGCCAGGACAATGGAGCACCTAAGGGTTACAGGAAGGGTTTGTTGAGTACTTCATAGCATGTGAATATCTGAAAAGGGCCCCAGGGATTTACAGATACTGCATTCCAGATTCAAATCAGAGACACTCTCTGAATCACTTAAGTCTTTTAATCAGCCTGTGATGGAACAAGCAGTGGAGCCAGGGACAGAGCCTGGCACACAGTTATGTGCCTCTGTGAGCAATCAGAAATTTCCTTCCCCTCACGCTGCTGTGTTCTCGTTAGCATTTTGTCACTTGACCTGGAAGCACTCAGTGGTTACAAGCATGGGACAGTGATAAATGTGGCTCACCTCTGTCTGGATGGCAGCTGGCTGACCACTGTATGCATGACCACGTGCTGCACATCTGCTGTCTTGCCTGTTTCTGTGCCCAAGAACTTCTGGGTTTTGCCAATGGTGATGGCCAAATGACTTTGAGGCTTTCTTGCTAAGACCTTTCTGACCATGTAAGTGAATGTATTAGGGAAATCTTCCCTGTGAGTTTGTTACATACTGCTGTTGATGTTTAAGAGCATTTCCCTGCACAAGGCCAGCAGAATATGGATAGCTAAGAAGGTGAGACATCTTCCTCCCTGAAATCTAAAGGCTTGGTCTTACAGTTGCCTGAATAGTCTTGCTGGTTGAATGTATACAGTACAGGTGAGCATTCAGTTGCATAAACATAAGTGTCTACAGCTCTTTTAGATGTGCCGTGTATCCAAGAGATCTGCACAAAGCTGGCATGTAACACAAGCTTTGCATGAGATCTGTGCCTTTTTTTTAAATTATTTTTTATTTGCAGAGGCAGCAGCAGATCATGGACAAAACCCGGGGGCATCACAACATAGATGGCTGTAATTAGGCAACTGACACCCAAACTATGCGCCTGCAGGCTTGGGACCATGCTGTGCACTGCACTGATCCCACTGATAACTAACTGCTATAGCCAGACAAAGAAAACGTTATACAGATATCTGCAGCAACTTGGCACACGTGTAGCATTTCACAAAAACAAAACTTAGTGGAACACTAGGATAGAGCAGCCATATTCTCTGCCCAAGGGCAAGAAGAGTTCATTTTAGGATTTTCCTTTGATTCTCCGTACTTTGCTCTTAGGCAAAACATTTCACAAAACATTTATTGTTTTTCTTTTCTCCAGGAAAAATAAATATCCTAAATAGTAAAGAGATCAGGCAGTCAAGTTTGATTCAAAGTAACCCACGGTGGGAAACCCAAGATATGGAGAAAATATCTCAGCCAGAAATGTGATATTGCATCGAGCTGTTCAGTTCACACGTATGTGTACCACCAGGTACTCTAGTGTCTTGCAGCATGCTGTACTGCCCTGGGGAGCTAGTGCTGCTGCAGCTCAGGTGATCACTTGTTGCACTCTGAATGCGAAAAGATCTGTTTCTGCTGACAGGAAGCTGCAAATGTCATGTGGCTGCAAAATCCAGAGTCTTTGAATCTTGTTAAAATGCTTGCTGTCTGAATGCTGTCATGTCAGAAATAGAACAACCTAAGGTATTCTCTTTGATATTACAGAAGGCTGGCTTGCTAAGGAGGGCAGTAGAAAGAGTGCTGTTCTTAGTGATGGAGGAATAGGGGGGGAATAGATATCATTGTGCTTTCTGCTAATTTCTTCATTTCCAAAATTCCCCACATTGCCTCCCAGAACATGAGGCCAGTTTTGATCAGAAGGGAAAAAAAACCAAACAAACCAGGATTCTTGACATTTTATTTCACTTGTACTTGACTCTTGCTGCACTTTGCTAAATCACAGTGAAGTTCTGAAACTGGGGATCTTGTCTTATACCTCTCCTTCTGTTTCCATCTGAGGGCCTGCCAGTGATGCCCCACTCACATTATCTGTGGCAGGCACTCAGGTTTTTTGCCATGTTCTCAAAACAAAGAGGAACCTGGCAGCTAATCCCTTTTACAAGCTCAAGTACGATTTGCTGTTAGAATTTGCTGTATGGTCACACACTGCAGCTAGAGAGGACGGTGGTGAGGCTTGAAACTGTTTCTGCAGCAGGTAATACCACAGTCTTCTATTAAATACCGCTGTCTCCCATTTTCTCTCACTGGGAGAGGCAGTTTAGTTGTTCAAGCAGAAAGGAGGTGACAATCTAGGTGACT